GACATCCTCGTTAAACAAACCGACCTGAAGCTATTTGCATCCGTGTCAACCCGTTTTTTTATTTTTGACATGTTAAGACAGACTGTTTCGCTGGTGCTGAAAAAGCAGCTATGGGTAAGACTGCGTTTATATTTATAGTACAGTAAAAAACTTCGTTTAAAAAAAAATCTGTGTGTAGTTAAGTGTGCAAGACGGTAGTTACAACAACAAGCACCAGTTTGTGTTATGTCATGATGATGAAACAAAACGCAATGATAAACAGACGCTAAATGCTTAGCGATATTTTGTCTACCCTGGTTTCAGTGCACACATTTGTCCCACTCACGATGTGCATGGACTACACACTAGATTTTTAAAAAACGTAAATATTACAAAATAGTTAGTGAAACCATGTAACGACGAAGGAAATTAAATAACTAACTTATTATACAATAGTAATAGACTATTAGATTAATATATTAATTACAGTTAGTTGCGTATCCTTTACAGGCCGTTGCAGAACCCCTTACAGCCCCTGGCTGTTGTTTGGTTTCTCTAGGCAAATTTACGTCCAGTAGTTTGCCATTCCCACTGGACGGTCGGCTTTTTTGATACAGCTGTCGAAACCAACGCAAGGCGCATGGCCCGCAGCTAAGATCGAACCCAGCATTACGAAGCGTTCGCATCGACTTAGCCACAGAGCCGACAATATTAATTATACTATTTAAAAATACATTATTATTTTCTCCATCTGTTCCGAGAGATCAGATAATCTTTATAATTTAGGACTGTAGGTTACGCTAGGCTGGTGTACCACTTATTCTTTTGGGGTTTAACAGGGTGTCTAGAATTTGCCCTATTGGTTTGCCATCCAGATTCATCATTATCATGAAGCAGGTCCTTTGGAGGACGTCGCTCTAATCACAGTCTGACTGAAAGAAACTCGCTCTCTCGCCAGCTCTCCCGCCTCATGTACTTTCATACTCAAGGAGTCATTTATATCCTGTGCCCATCTTCATGTTGGTCGGCCCCTGCCCCTCCTTCCTGGTACTATGCCTTCTGCTATTATTTTTTCTAATCTTGTGCTTGATATGACCAAAATATTTCAGCTTCTGAGACAGGATGCTGTTTATTAGCCAATCTTCCTTGATGTTCAGATCTTTCAAGATATCAGTATTTCTCCTTTTCTTTGTCCAGATTATTAGATTTGTGTAATCGCAGGGTGTTAGACTTCTAATAGCAGCCATCATGGGAGAAAAGAAAATGGATACGAATTTAGTCGCAGACAATTTTATGTTAATAAAAGCACTGTTTCCCCTTTGTGAATATGACAAGGAAGCAAATAATACTATCGAAACTTATCAAGAATGTTTTAAAAGATTATTAAGAAGGTTTACATTTGATTGCTAAAATTAAAATGCTGCATGTGATGTTTCTAAAATCAACCCTTCCAGGCATGTACAATTTAATGAGGCAGAACATCTTGCAAAAGTCCTGTTAGAAGACTTGTTGTGTTGGGGTGTCAAGGCTGTCAAAGACCACAAACCTTATACTCTGTGACTATATGGCATGGCCAGATAAAGGATGCAGATCTGAACCTCAGCTGCTAATCATGGGACATAGCAAACCATGGTTTCTTCTCATCATCATCAGTAGTTGGGGACTATGTAAGGACCTGCTGTCTGCTCTTTCTAATGCATTTACAAACTTATCTTCATTTCTTTAAGGCTGTTCTTGATACCATGTGCTTATTGTTTTCACAATAACAAACAGGCATGTCATAAAAACCCAGATAATTAGAGCTTTTTCCTTCAAGTCTATGAATATCTACATTAGAGATGAAAGATCAACAGTCTGCATACGAATAGGCAAGATCTGTAAAATAGATGTGCATGCAAAGATCGAGTTCTGGAACAGTACTAAAGCCCAGAAGTGGACGAACAACCAGAACTTTCCTTTGGTGCTTACATCTGATGAATGCTTAAAAAAATTTTTTTTTTAAAGAAACTGTTTACAGTAGACAACAGTAGTGAAGTCACTAAGATTCTAAACTCTGTTATTTTCAGAAAGTGCACTGGGCCACTCTAAGCAGCACGACACCCTATTACAAGGAACAGCACAAGCAAGGTCCTACAAGCAGACCATTCAAAATTGCCAGTCTTGACCATCTTGTACTGACCGTCAAGGACCTGGACAAGACGGTCGATTTTTATACACGGGTGTTGGGAATGGAAGCCACAACATTTAAGGTAAATTTTTCAGAAAAGCTGGGGTACTAGATTGTATCTAGCAACACAGTAGGATGAACATGTTATATAGAAAGATGTTTTGTTTCCAGTGTGTTCTATGTTGTTGCAACAGAAATAATTTCAGGTGCCGATGGCACACTGTAGTATAATTGTGACATATGGAAGTATATATCACAGCCATGCTGTAAATTGGCACCGCGCAATTACATCTTCAAATAAATTAAGAAGAAGAAGATTATGATATGAGGTGACTAATTCTTTTTCTGCCAGCTTTTTTCTACTAGCTTTTTTCTACTATAACTCAAGCAACATTACTTACCTATTATTAACTTATTTATCTAAGTTATGCTGAAGTTATATTGAAGTATGACAAGCTAGATGCTACCAAGGCATCTTGGGAGAGAGTAAACTGTAATGAGGCACAAATAGATCATCATGGTCTAGAGAGAATTGTGCAGCAGGAAGTGACCCAGAGGAGTGAACCATGGATCTGCCGACACTCAGTACTCGAGGGACAGGAAGGACAGACAAACAGTTAAACTCGTACCATTGCAATTGGAATTCTGTGCTGGCTCCTGAAAATGCGGGTTGAAGCATTTGTACTACCATGATGTCAATTTTAACACAACTCTGCATAGTTGTTAGATCTGCCTTCTGTTGATTCACTTTCATTAGCAGAAATTTACTCCTTAAACTCAGATACATTGAGGATAGTCCTTCTATGAAATACTACATTTGGATTAGAACAGTTAATCCACTGCTTTTTTTGTTTTTGTTTAGTGTCCACAGATAAAGTTATGTATAACCAAAAATTACAAGCAGCCATGAAGACTCTAAACATTTAGAAACTTTATATCCTTATTTTTAACAATGGAGGCTGTTCAAATTCAAATGAAGTCAGAAGGAGATTGGCCATTAACATTGCAGAAGTTTAACAGCAGCAAAAGCCTCTAGCACAATACCAGCCCAAAACACAATTTAAAACAATTACATGGATTTCTCTTGCAGCAACAAATAGATGTGAGCTACTAACCATGTTGTAATCACTAAAATTCAAGGCTTTTGAACTTATGTGTTATAGAAACACTCTTAGAATACAGCTGATTATTAGTTCGAAAGGCTAACCAGGTCAACAAATGCCTGCAGAGGTTGGATGTGTTGGCCAAAACGTGCAAATATCACAGCCATGCTGTAAACGGACAATTATATCTTCAAATGAAGGAAGAAGAAGAAGATTATGATGTGAGGTGACTAATTCTCTTCCTGCCAGCTTGTTTCTTCAAAAACTCAAGCAACATTACTTACCTATTTTTAACTGTATTTATCTAAGTTATGCTATGATTAACTTCAAAAATTGATTGGTTCAGCAATACAAATTTTATCTTTACAATAAATATGTAAATTTATTATTCTGATATGTTTGTACTTATCAATCATTAACAATTATCAGCATGTTGATCACATAGACCTTTTAAAAAATGTGTATATCTAAGGCTAGGAAGATGTCCAATAAGATGATGGAGAAGTAAGAATTTAGATCTCGAATGATGTCACAATGAAGCAAAGATGGAATTAACTAATATTTATAACATTCATTCATGATCCTGTTGTGCCATTATTTGTCCCATAGAGCTTGTAGTCTATTTCTCAGTTCCGCTCTGTCCTGTGCAATCAGTTCAATATCATGGATGGAATCCAGTCCAGTGGCTTTGGCCTCTGCCATCAACAGTCTTCTTAGGGTTTATTTTGGACTTTATTTATGAGAGCCTTACCCTATTTAGTCTTTCAGTTGAATGTTGAATTAAGAATCGACATCACAGCACTCAGGACACCCCCATAAGCGCTCCATCCCTGATCTTCAGCAGCAAGAGAAGAGTTAAGACTCCAGAGGTACCAGTAACTGTTTTATTGTATATCAGACTTACCTTTTCCCCTTGTAACTCCTCGCAGTGCCATTCTCCTCAGACTGTAATGATCTGTGCCTCTGCACTAACTCACTCCCAAAGGGCCCTCACAACATCCAGCTTGTCATACACCAGTTCACCACCAGGTGGTGCAGAACCTGCCAGTCTAACAGCCTGCTCATTTCCCAACACACCGGCATGACCTGGAGAAAACATCCAAAGGATGCTAACTACCCAGGACCATAGAAAGGAGTTTGTAGCTGCTGTAGCACATTGACTAGATGGAAGCATACCAGCCGTGGGTTCTTATGTTCAGATCCATATCAAAGCTGCTGTTGTGTAACTGACCTGGGCTTCCAGTATTCATGGGAAGTCAATTTGCCTGGCATGACGTTGACCAAACCATCAGTGAGTGCTGGCTTGGTCTATACAGACATTAACCCAGCCCAATATGCATAAATAATTTGGCAGTGGCATGAACAGGGTTCTTTACTTTGTTTTCATTATAAAAGAATATTAGAACTAACTTGATGACAAAATTCATTGAATTCTGGCCTAGGTATAAAAGGACAGCACTTCAATCCAGATTTATGTTAACAGAAAGACATGGTAGTGAATCTGTGCTTGCCCTGTTGAAACAGGCAATTACTTTTGAAAGTTCTTGATTTTCTATTTGAGTTGTAAAAGAGTCATTTATTTGCCTCATTTGATTTAATTGTTAGTTTAGTTGGCACCTGACAAGATACTACGATATATACCAGGCAATAAATTGTGCAGTATGTTCTTTACGTTTTCTTGGTTCAAAATTAATTCAGTTTATTCTTCTGCAGGGTGGAAGAAAAGCATTAAACTTTGGAGAACAGAAGATAAACTTGCACGTTCATCGCCAAGAGTTTGAACCAAAGGCTAGCATCCCAACTCCAGGTTCTGCAGACTTATGCTTTATCACGATCACATCACTCGACGACGTGCTTAAACATTTAAAGGTATATCCGTTTTCATAGCTTCTTCTTCTTCTTTCATTCACCTAAAACAGATTATCTACATCTGCAGTGTTTTCTCTAGTATGAACTTCACTGTCTTTCATAATTCACTCAGTGACCCCTAAAATTTGGCTTCAACCTGTGTTTCTCTTGGCCGGACGTTTTGCCTTGATATGTTGATTTGGGATGGTACATTTTCATATCAAAACAGCATAAGCTCCAAACTCCCTGTGTGGGTACCTGTGCCTCGTTTCAGGGAGGAAACAAAAGTAAACCCACTGTCCCCCTCCTCCAGGTTTGCTGACATCAGATGTGGAAGGCTGAAAGGAAGGTACAGATATCATAGCCTAGCTGTATGTACATATATATGTGTGTGTTTCTGGGTAGTAAGATCAGATGCCCGTGTGTATTGCTGCGCACGCAAAATAATAACTTGGCAGTTGGAAATTGAAAAAGAGTAGCCCTATGGGCAAAATTTTGAGGTAAAAATCTACCCAAAAGTATTTCAGGATCCTTACCGGTGCAACAGAGTTCGTGCACTGCGCTGAGATTTTCAGATTCAGGCTATATATATATATACACACACACACACACACATATAAATATATATGCAGTAATGCAGGCTGCTTTCAGTATTGATAGATTCTATCCTAGCTTCCAGTCTAGGGTTTAACATTCTAGCTAACAGTGTTGCCTTATGTGACCTTGTCGCACATGTGCCCAGCAACCACCTTGGGAAACAAACACAACAGTCTACAGTTAACAACGCACAATGGCCCCAGATTCTGATGTCAATTCTGCCAGTTTTTTCATCCCACTTCCCACACTCTATTCACTCACTGTTTATTCAGTCACAGCTGTCGCTGCTAACTTCCATAAAAATCTAAAAATCTCATAATAATTATTCAAACATTCAGTACGCTTCAATTAAACTACATTGACTACATCACAGTCATCTTTTTCTTGTTCAACTCTTTAACCCCGATTATCCCATACTGTCGTCTCTTGCATGGGTTTTTTGCTCGGCTTTCTTTGACCATGGACCACCATGCAAAGCATGGTCATATATATAAATATATATATATATATGTTCCTTGCCTGCACTTTAATTAATTTATTTTTATACTTGAATATCTACATTTTATAAATTATTGTATATGCTTCAAACGTATGTAATTTTATTTCAAGCATAATTATTTCTGGTTCAAACACTGCTTATTTTTGTAAATTGTCACATGCATGGGTATTATGTATTGTCACATGCATTAGTATTATGTTTTAAATCTAATTGTCTGTTTTTAAAATGTCAGTGATTTATGTTTTGTCATTGTTTATATGTCATTGTTTATAGGTCATTATTTATATAACATATAAAATAAATGGTGTTCTGAATCTGTTGCAGGCTTGCAATATTGACATAGTTGAGGGCCCAGTAGAAAGAACTGGAGCAGTTGGTACAATCCGGTCTCTGTATGTCCGTGATCCTGATGGAAACCTCATTGAAGTCTCCAATTATATCAACAAAGTGGACCGAATCTAGCAACACAACACCTCAGCCATCATAATGCATTTATTCTTCACCTATTCTCCAATCTACTCATTTGTTTACAATTCCTTTTCTTTAAACTGATCTGGTTATTATGGATATCTTTGTGGCAGGATAATTACACACTAGCTAACTGCTGCAAAGCTCTTCAGTTTAGTCTTGTTCATCTGCATTATGAGTCAGTAGGTGTCAGGCCCTTAAGGTTGAAACCTCAGAGAGGGAATATAAATCTAACAACCAATCTGCCTCAACCAGTGGATGGTGTGTTACTAGCTATCACCCATGTGTATCACTGCAGCTCAAGTACTGAGATATATACCATTTTCACTTTGAACTGGATGTTTTTCAAAAAAGAAGAAAAAAATTGGGCTGCACATCAAATGTGTATACTTTTTGGGCCAATTTGCCAGCCTATAGTGGTCCAAGGGCAGTAACTGTGGCAGCCTGCCTGGACAAAGAGGGGGATAACTACCACGGACAACCACCCTGTGAATCTCTTGTGTAACACCCATGCGGCTAGTGTGTTCGGTTGTGTATCCGGTTGTGCAGTTTCCTAGCTATCTCCTCCTTTGTTGTTGGGCAGACAGCTGGCAAATTTCATTTCAAACAGACTTGGACGGACGCCTGTGGTGTCAGCTGCCATGTGGCATCATTGTGTCATCCACTGTTTGACGCCACACTTAAAAGAGTTGCCCATTCGGGACCCATCTATTCTTGGCTTTTAGCCTAAGTCAAAAAGTTACCTGGCATGAAAGTTACAATGATCAATAAGGCAATGCTCTCAGGCTGAGGTGGTGTTTTCTCAAGCTTTCCATATATGTGGATTTTTCATGTTGTAAAAGATTACGAAAATATTTCCAGGAATAAAGACTTCCAAATTGTGAAAATGGATTAAATTCTGTATTCAGCTGTTCATGGACTTCCTTTTGTTCCTAACTGGATGTGCCAGCTGAGTGTTTCTCGAAAGGATAATATTTACTGCAAGCCTGTCGAACTTTTCCAGCTACGCCGCCAGTGACCGATCTTCAACACCCTATGATGTCTGTGATCTGCCTGAACGTGCCTGCCAATCCCTTCATGGTGGCTACACAGAAATGCACACTGGTGATCATGATAAATGGACCGGGTGCATCTTAGCTTGCTGCTGCCATGTTGGGACCAGGCCAGATTCCTACAGGAGGAATTGGCGACTTCGCCAACCCAACCCGATGGTACGGCACAATGAAGCAGACATTGCATGAGCACTGCCACCATCATCTGCATGACCCAAAAAAATGTTTCAGGTGTTTAAACTCAGTTGCCTGTTCAATATATGAATGTCTCATTGTATTTGTTTTAACAGTAGTAAATCTATTGCCGGCTTGCTAGACCTGTCACAACTTCATCTGAGCCCCATATGCCAGGATGTTTCGGGTTGACCTCGGCTTAAAATAAACATTGCGAAATCACAGATAATTGGCAGGCCGATTTTCTGGCTGGGCTCAAGAACAGTCAAGCTCTGAAGATGAACGGCAATATTTTCCCCAACAACCCAAACACAGTACACACACCAGCATGGGAGGAGCTGACCCGAAAAGTCACTGACATGCTGGAAAAGTATAAATAGAAGACAACCACAATATTTGGAAGGGCCACTGTTGTGAACACTTATATCATGTCTATAATTACTTTCCTGGCTGCGGTTTTGGGAAATAGTCCAGTGTTGACACTCAGCTGTCAGTACTGACTGAACAGATGGAGGGGAACACCTCCCAAAGCGTGACCCATGTGTAATCCTTACTTACGTCCTTTTCAGGACGTAATTTTTTCTTATTTGAAGCCCCACTCTGGCTTTTGCCAGGGGCCGCAATATAGGCATCAATATGGCCAATTGTCTGAACGCGGTTTCTGGGACCTCTCCACGGTGATCCTCATCCACATGGTGACACTTTGTGTCATCGGGTGTTTATCGCTTGTGTGATGTCCTGGTGGGGTAGAAAGTCAGTCAGTCAGTCAGTGTGACCCAGACAGCGGTGGAAGAGGGGAGAAGTTTCCAGAAAGTTCTCTACAGGAAAGAAAAAAGAAGAAACACAGAGAAGAGCCAACAAGATAAGGAATGTGTCAGATGGGGAGATTAAGACCGGAGAATCTCCAGCACGACACACTCCCAATAGAATCAACAAAAACACAGACAAAACGGCCACAGTTGACAACATGGGACATCGTAACACTAGATCAATTACCCCCACTGCTGGTCATCGAGGACACACAAACTCTTCTCAACAACCCATATTAAATATTATAGATGAGTCAGAGAAGGGAAGACTGCTTTAAATGCTTCTGCAGCCGGAGAAACAGCTTCTTCTTCTTCTTTGCATACTCTCCAAGAAAACCCCACAGACAGAAAGCCTACTTGAAAACAACATATCTAAAGATACCTGTTCACAAGGAAAGGCTGCACGAGGAGTCTCCCCTCAGATCGGAAGTGCCAGAGATAGTCAACAAGTGTTAAATCAAGAAACTCAAGCAGTAGGTAAAATATGTAATATAATTATGTCTTTATAGAAATGGAAAAATTAATTGTCAGTTTGAATTTGTTGAGTCTCTGAAACAGGCACACCACATTATGTCCCTTATACAGGAATATCAACCAAAGTGGATGATTTTCCAACCACTCCAGACACTCTTCAAACTAGACACAATGGTTTTTATTCAATTTGACTTGAAAAAGTCCTAGATGGTGTGAAAATCATCCAGTGGGGTTTGAAAAACATTCTAGGTGGTTTGAAAATTGTCCCTGTAGATTTGAAAAATGCTGTAGTTGGTTTGAAAATCATCCAGTTTGGAACAGTGTCCTAGGTGGTTTGAAAAATGTCCACTTGGGTTTGAAAAATGTCCTAGGTGGTTTGAAAACGGTCTAGTTTGAAGTAAAAATTGTATACATGTTTTATATTTGGTTTGTGCCTCCTTAAAGTATGACTACATTTCTTACGATATCGCACAATGTTAGTTGTGTCATTGAAGGTGACACACTGCTACTTTGATGCTGTGGTTATTGTACCAGATTGGGTTTCTGCCATGAAATCAACTAGGATTATACAAGTTAAATAGTAATATTTCCCCAGACACTTCGATGATATACAAGGTGGAAGAGAAGAAGAAGAAGAAATAGTAATATTTTAACAAGTTTGCTGAGTTTATCAATTTTGCTGCACTATTATGAAGCAGTAGACCGTAGCTTTCTAGCGCTGGGTTTATTTTTGTGCAGACCTTGACATATGTCTGTGTTTAAAGTAGTCATCAGGTCAGTAATAAAATGGGGTGACCTCAGAACTGACAAATTCAGTAAACAGTGTAACATAAATTGTTGATATCTTGATAGTCAAACCACTTCTGGCCATCTCATTTGTAGTAAACAAATATGAGGGATAAGAATGTGAGTCTTGATACTGTCCCTATTGTCATTTTACATAAATTTATGCAACGCATCTGAATTTTATGCTAATTAAATCAGTAATGATGCTGACCAGACCATCCATCTTGTACCGATTGGTCTATAAAATATAGGTCCAGCCCTATGTGCCTTATATGCCTAAAGGCGTGGAAAAGGGTCCTCTACTCTTTAAATAAGTGAAATTCTAAAACTAAGCATTCCTCATGAGGCTTTCAGAGACCCTATTTTGTGTTTGGGTTGGGGACCGATTGTCTCCTTAACAAGCATGTCATACAAGGTAACTAATTAGGGCTGTTTTCTTTAAAGCTGGAGTGCATCGGCCTGAGAGGCAAGGAACCAACATTCTGCCTTTAACTCTTTGAGTCCCAGGGGGGTTTAGAATCACAGGCCCAGGGGGTAGAGAAGAGAGTCATAAAATTGGTGCATCAATCGTTCCTTGGGCTTCTAGGTAGGAAACTATGAACGCATGATGCGTTTCTAGGGACTCAAAGAGTTACAATAAGCCAGATTGGTACCCACAAACCTCCAGTTCTGGAACAAGACCAAAGTCCAGAAGAGGAAGAATAACCTGGGCACTTCAGCAGAGTTTAGAGCCAGTGAACGCTAAGAACAAGAAGAAGAAGAAGAGCATTATAACATCTTCTTCTTCTTTGTTCGTCATCGCACTGATACCAGATTGTAGCCCAGTGTCGTGATTTGAGGTAATTAAAGGTTTTCTTTTTGTGTCATGGGCATATTGGGTTTATGGTGATGATAGTAATCATCAACATTTGCTTTGTCAGATAGTATAGGCCAGAACTCTCCAACCTGGGAGTCTAGCAATTTTGAATGTGAATGCATTTATGCCTGTTATCCGCTTTACTAACATTCTGTATTAGTTTAATTATTAATGAATTATTTTCTAAAACTATTTACTTACAAAAAAAGAAGGACATTTTTGTTTTCTTGAGTAGTTTATACATCTACAGTTAAAAATCTAATTAATATGATAACACGCACATTTAATTAGGGTTTAAGAACACATTCTGACCAAAACGTAACTCCATACTTTCTGTTTTCCTTGTTGAAAAATCTATTGTTTTCTTTTTAATCTCATTTTGTTATGTTGACGTGGGTGGGGGAGGGGGTCTTACCATATGCTGAAGGGGGGTGTGATGGTCTCGCAGAATTTTCAATAGGGGTGAGAGAGTCTTGCCATGTACTCAAGGGAATGTGACCTAGATAGTTTGAAAACCACCTGTTTAGACATTCATGCCACACCATAGATCTCAGCTCTTGGTGTTTTTGATCACTTCTGTTGACAGTATTCTGTCAATGTCTCTGTCTAGCAACATGCATCATAGTCAGCCTCTACTGCTGTAACCACTGGTCTTTCCAGTCATCATATGATTCTCCAGGTGTTTTAGTGGTGAAGAGGTCAACCCATTTGCCTAGCACTGTGAAGGTAGTGGTTTTAGTTCACAGTAACATTGTACAGTTCATTAGCACAGTTCAGATCTGTAAAATGGATGCACACGCAACAGTCAGGTTTTGCAACTGGACTAAAGTCCAGAAGTGGACA